TTTTGCGCTGTTCGATTGGGAATTTCTCGCGAAACGCATTTCTTGGCGCGAGGTTTATTTCACCGGTGAGGGGTAATCAAACTTTCTGAATGCCTTTCGAGTTCGTTCCGCGCAAGCAACGCCCGTCACACTAAACGGGAATGAACTTAATTCGTATTCATTCTCTCTTTTCGTTTCTCTCGCTCTCTCTTTCTTTCTCTTTTTCTATTCTCTCTTATTCGCGTTAATTGTCGCGAGTAAATCAATTTACACGTGAATAAATTATTTCATCCATGAAGCCGCTTTGCTCATTCATTCCCCCTTTGATTTTAATTCTTAGTTTTTATTCGTACTCTTTAATTTAATTCTTAATCTTTAATTTTCGTTAAATTTCTAGGAAGAGGAGATGAAATTTTTGTTGATCACAAGAGTATATTCGCGTTACACCGTGATGAATGACTTCGATCACCTTTAAACGTGTCAGTTGTTTTATTGAAAACCTCGATCAATCAGAATTTTCATCTACGAAATTGTTTATAGATTTACGTTCTGCGTGCCTGACTTTATAAGCTTTCAAAGGAAAATTTAATTTTGCATTATAAAGGAACTTATTCTATCTTACGTTGTATTACAGAAAGAGCTTATTGTATCGTTAAACCCTCAGACATATTTAATTTCGCTTTAAAGCATTCAATTACTAAATTATTTATCAGAGTTCCGTCTGAATGATTAAAAAAAAAAAAGAAAAAAAAAGAAAATGAAACTTTGAATCATAAACAAAAGCTGTACTTTATAAGCTATTTTTATAATCTTCAATTTCAATCACAAAAGTCCCTTTCATTGTGCATCGTGAAAAGAAAATCTCCAAGGAATATATAATATGACTTGTAATTAAAAATTCCAACCCTCCAAATATATATTGGATTTTCTTCCAAAAGATTCAATTACATTTTGTAAATTTCTACAAAACTGTTCAACTGGAATGATTAAAATCTCCAAAGAAAAAAGAAACAAAAAAAGTGGAATTTTACATCACAAAGAAACGTCAACCGTCAACCTCTTAATTCGCTATCGTCGCGTATCGTCAAAAGAAACAAAATGTCAAAGGATTCTGTAATCAACACTCTCAACTCCCTAGATGTATTCAATTTTCTACTAAAAACTTCAATCACCAAATTTCCATATTCATAAAATTATTCGGTTGGAGTGATTAAAGTGATAAATCTCAAAGAAAAAATGAAAACTTTTCGACCGTCAACCGCTGTGAATGTAAACACAAGAATCACCGCGTATTCACCGCGTATCTCAATAGGAAGAAGGAAAATCTCAAAGAATAATCAAAAGTAAATTCAGTCGAAAACAGGAGACGCCAGCGCGAAGATGAGACGAGAGTTTCGTCTGCTCGGGTTGCATTCACACAGGAGTAATTCCTGTTGGAACATCGACTGTTTTATAAAAGCAGGCCACCCTTTTGACTGGGGTGAATTCATTAATTTACTCGACAGCCGGATACTACTTGGCCTCTTGCGAGCTGTCATCGATGGGATTTCGTGTTTCGAGTTCTCCGCCGGCTTTGAGGTCGAATCCTGAAAATTTAATGGAACTCGAGTGCCGCCCAGACACAATGAATTAAATGAATAATTTGCTTTGATCTACGGGCTTCGCAGAACGATAACGATTAATTACTCGATTATAGAGTTTCCGTTTCTGACGATTCCGTGAGCGTCGACTCCGACCTCCCTCGGCCTCGCATGCATATCTTTTGAAAATGGAAAAATTCGCGGGTTGCATTTAAATTTTGCATTTTTTGTACCGTTTTTGGAAGGTATACTTTAGATTTATCTTTCCTGAGAATTTGAGATTTCACTTTAAGGATCGAAAGATCTTTAGAAATACTTTGGAACTTCTCGGTTTTGATCGGAAATTGTTCAAAAAGTAGAAATATTGACAGGTTGCGTTCAATTTTCAGATATTTGTCTGCAGACAGTACCGATTTTAATTTACAGAAAATTTAGAATTAACTTAAGAAATCAATTCTAGTATCTTTGATCCTTTCGTTCAGTAATTACTATTTTAATAATTATTTACGTGTTATAGTTATTTAATTCAGTATTTAGTTACTATTGCAATTCATCAAAGATACAAGCTGAAAGGAATTTTCCAAAAAGTACGGAGAAATAAATGTTTAATGTGTCTCACTAACGTGTTTCCAATATTAAATAGCAAAGAATCAAACAATAAACGTTTAATTGAAAAAAAAAAATTTTTTTCAAAGGACTAACCAAATTATTCTTCGAACTTAGTAAATGAAGGAAGCAGTAGAATGTTTCCTTCTCGCGACGTTCATTCTTTCTTCGACGTTCGCGACATTCCTCCGCTTGTCTGAACTTCTTCGTTTCTGGTGAACGAGAACCATGACCTACACTTACGTTGGCCAAGGATTCGTCAATGACGCGAACAAAAGATAAAAGACGATTTAGTGTGTCGACGATCTTGTGACCTATTAAACGTTCTTTCTGCTCTCTCTCTCTCT